TTTCTGTATTGTTGTTTCTCTATGGTGTTAAGTCACTGATTATTAGGTTATATTTCTGTATTGTTGTCTCTCTATGGTGTTAAGTCAGTGATTACTAGGTTGGTTTTGTAGATTGTTGTTTTCTATGGTGTTAAGTCAGTGATTATTAGGTTGTATTTCTGTATTGTTGTTTCTCTATGGTGTTAAGTCAGTAATTATTAGGTTGTATTTCTGTATTGTTGTTTCTCTATGGTGTTAAGTCGGTGATTATTAGGTTTCTATTTCTGTATTGTTGTTTCTTTATGGTGTTAATAAATGCATTAGACCATTTAGTGTGCCAAGGTCTTGGTGTAAACAAAAGAAAAAAAAACAACAAAAAATAGTAGAAGCCTTACTAATTGAATCAAATGACCCCAAACTTAATAAACATCCACGAACATCTCTGTACACCATCTCACATCTTTTACACAAATAGCTACATCCCTCATGTTATGTATTGTTACGACAGCGGAAGTCACGTGACGCTTGGAGCATGCGTGCTGGAGTTTCTAGAAGGATCATGACTGTTCCTGGCAACTCTAGTCTTTTTCAGGCGCCCTCTATTTTAGTATATATGCCCGGCAAATAATTGCAGATCGAGTCAAGCGAGCAGTAGGTACCGTAAGAAAAGTGTCTGAATCGCTGTGAATTATAGCGTGTGTTTATAAAAGTAGTAAAGTTTAAAGTGACTGTGGAAATTAAGTGTATTACAAAGTTTGTAACGAGAAAGAATAAACTACTTTTAATTAAGAAAGGACTTGTATCGCTGAAGTTTTTCGGAAAGAATTTTTACCGGAAATTATCAAACAAGCAGATACGTAACAGTATTAATCCCATCTTAAGACACGACCATCTTGTAGATGGGTTGTCTAAAGACGAGTTATTTTTCTCCTTCAGTTTTACATCCGTTCACGTGTATCTTTATTAGTTTCAAGATAATATTAAACTTAAATTTTCTGTTTGATACTAAATTAACGATGCTCTTGCTCCACGGCTTGCATATAAATGAGGACGTATGAGGTATTTATTACATTTGTTAGTCTCGCTTTACCCCCTCACCCCACCCCAATTTTTCGTTGTGTTTTCTTCCATGACTTTTTTGTAGTGGACGTGTTTAAATGTGGATTTCATCTACACACAAATTCACAATAAAGCAGAGAGATTTTAATCATAAAGAAAAGAAAATTTCCGAGTTTCATCTCGATTCAGGTGGGCAAGTTTTTCATTTTGTTACATAACGTGTAATCAAAAACAAAACCTTTTAGTACAATGTCGACAAACTTGCTGCCAAATTTTGTGGGGCACCCACTTGTCTACGATCTTGGTTATTAAACCCGCGAAAAAAACATAAAAACAGTTACACGTGAACGATAATATTATTTGTAACCAATTTAACACTTTAATATAGTTTTCCATAACACACTTGGGTGACGTGTTGAAGAACCGATAACACACTTGGGTGACGTGTTGAAGAACCGATAACATAATTGGGTGAAGGGCTGAAGAACCGATAAGACACTTGGGTGACGTGTTGAAGAACCGATAAGACACTTGGGTGACGGGTTGAAGAACCGATAACACTCTTGAGTGACGTGTTGAAGAACCGATAACACACTTGGGTGACGGGTTGAAGAACCAATAAGACACTTGGGTGAAGGGTTGAAGAACCGATAACACACTTGGGTGACGGGTTGAAGAACCATTAACACACTTGGGTTACGGGTTGAAGAACCGATAACACACTTGGGTGACGGGTTGAAGAACCAATAAGACACTTGGGTGAAGGGTTGGAGAACCGATAAGACACTTGGGTGACGTGTTGAAGAACCGATAAGACACTTGGGTGACGGGTTGAAGAACCGATAACACACTTGGGTGACGTGTTGAAGAACCGATAACACACTTGGGTGACGGGTTGAAGAACCGATAACACACTTGGGTGACGTGTTTGAAGAACCGATAACACACTTGGGTGACGTGTTGAAGAACCGATAACACACT